GCTGTGGTAACTTCTAAGGGTTCAGCAACTCTCAAAATAGGAGCTGGGTCCAGAGTGTACTTGCCACACAATTTCCGCACCTTTTTCCAAATCATGCACATAGGGGAAGACGAGTTAATGGTAGACACAGTCTTGCCAATAAGTGCGTTTAGTGACACAGATGATGATGCGAGCAACTGTCCTTGCCCGCTTGAAATCCAACAGACAATCCACTGTACAATTATATCGACAATGGCCCCACTCACCATGTTTTAAATGCACTGCACGGGCGCATGTAGGAGACCACCAAGGTACGCATGCCTGCCTGAGGTTTGGGGGATAGAACCCGTTGCCAGTTAGGACCAAGGTCGAAAAGTTGTGTGCCAGATCATCGGAGGGCAAAAGGGGGTCCTCCCAACAGGTGGCAAGATGGGAGTATAAGTTCCAATCTGCTCAAGCAAATTGCCAACGAGGACTACAAAACGGTCGGGCACACAAAATGATCACTATAGTGTAAATCTGGAAGAACAGACCACAAGAAATCAAGTGCAACGAGCCAGGAATAGACAAAGATCAATGCAGGAGAGAGACTGAAGTAGAGAGTCAAAATGGGTAGGAGCACCCGTGTTTGAAACATGAAGAGGATGAGATGCGAGAAGAGTCTCCAACTCATCACCACGAGAGTCACAGTGGGACCCTCCCCACAGGTGATGGTGAGCATTAAAATCACCAACAACAATATGGGCTGTGGTAGAGATGAAATTAAAAGTGCAATATCAGAGATACAGAATGCACAAGAGGGAGAAAGATAGAGAGAGCAAACTGTAAACCATCAGTGTAAATAAATACGAGCTGCAGTATAATGCAGCAGGGAATAAATAAAAATATATAATAAATAAATAAAGAAGCGCTAAAACCTACTGGGTCATACAGCGCTAGGGAAATAAAAAAAGCTTGTTTATACAGTATATCAACACGTACAAGAAGCATGCTTTCATTAAATGATTCGTCAGGTAAAGGATTGGAAGAATGTATCCGCAACTAGCCCAAAATGGGGTGAATGACAGCAGAACGAATTTTGGGCTCTTGCAACCCAACACATGCTGGGGACAACTGGGAAAGCAACAATTGGAGTTTTCCTCAATTGCCCCTAAGGCCACGAATATTCCATTGTAAAAAAGACATTATGTACAGAAATAAAATGACAACAATAAGAAACGATAAATAATTTTTATTATTATTATTATCAAAAAGAAGTGCTAAGCCACAAGGGCTAAGAAACGATAAAACCTATGGGCTTTGAGGATCGGTGAAGACAACGGGTGGGGGCAACAGTAAGCATGTAGAATATTGCGGAGGAATAGATTGTTGCATGGGTCGTGAAATAAAGGAGTAGGAGGAGGCATTGGTGTTCATCAAGGGTGTCGTCTCTGCTATATAGATGGAGATAGCATCTAACGTCTCAGTTGATAAGGAAGTCAATGATACCATGATGTCAGAGACAGGAGAGGCATTGCAAGTAAAGGTCAGAGTAGCTATGGAGGCAACAAAAGAGGTCTGAGGAGGATGTGGAGTATGAGCCTGGAGAGATGTGCTGGCTGGGGGAGAAGAGTCCTGCAGTGTAACAGGAGAGGAAGGAGGTTGGAGGGCAACTATGGAAGATGGGGGGGGGGGACGGGAAGAGGGAACTTCACTAGGGGGAGGGTGAACCTCCACCTTTGTGTGAAAGCTGGAAAGGGGGTGAGAACTAGTCTTCTAGGTAGAAGATAGATTCTGGATGGGATGGACGCGAAGAAAGTGTAGGTCTGTGAGGTCTAGTAGACTGAGAAGTAAGCAAGCGAGATGAAGAAGTAGAAGTAGAAAGTGGTGCAGAGGTAGGAGTGTCAGAGGATAAAACTGCAAAAGCATTAGAAACTAGGGTGACCCCAGAAGACAGGGATGTAGAGGGATTGGGAGGTGGGAGGACTGTCGAGGTTGAAGGTCTGCGGGCTACTCGAGCATACGGGACACAAAGTTTTCCTTGAAGGCGGAGCTGAGAGACTGCCATAGTGTAAGTAAGGCCCTCATGCTCTTTAAGGTAATGAATCTCTTGTTCATTATGATAGACCTGGCACCGGTGGGAAAAGGAAGGATGAGGTTCCTTGCAATTGAGACAAGAGGGGGAAGATTACAAGACATATTGGAATGATCCACTGCACCGCAGATCGGGCATTCAGCCACAGATCTTCAGTGTTTAATGGGGTGCCCAAAATGCCAGCAATTATGACATAGTTGGGGGGTGGGAACTACTTGACAGACCTCTAAATGATGGCCCTCGATATAGAGAGGAGGGAAGTTCACGGCAGTCGAAGGTTAAACGAGCGATGTTACTGGGAAAGCACCTTCACCCACGAGCAGACAGGATGTATGAATCTACCCTAAGAATAGGGAGGTTTTGAAGGACTAATTGTTCTAAAATATCATGCTGTATAGTCCTTGTGGCTTAGCGCTTCTTTTTTTATTATAATAATAATCTAAAATATCATTGCTGCAAGACAAAAAAATCACTCTGTACAATGGTACACGGTAAGACCACAGTACCACTGCAAGAATTAAGAGTAGCATGCTTGTGAATGGTGACTGGTATGTTATCAGCGGAAGTGATGCAGGAGAGCATGAGCGTGCTCCAGATTCTGTACAGTTACGACATGTGCATTGCTTCCAAGAGCATGGAAAAATATGTATTTTGGTCAACATGCATTAAAAGAGTATTGCAACCCCTGAATGGGTCACAATGTATATAATGTATATTACCTGTTCATATAATTTTATATTGCTTATATTTGCAATATTTAGCTAATATCGCAAATATAAGCAATATAAAATTATATGAACAGGTAATATACATTATATACATTGTGACCCATTCAGGGGTCACAATGAAGAGTTTTACCAGTTCCATGATCAGACAGGTAATCCGTTTGAAATGTCGTTTGTAAAGAAAATTTTGTCCATTGCACACTTGTTAGCCTCGTACGCAAAGGTGGTGTCGTATAGATCATTTTTGAGCAATCGTTGATGAACTGTCATCAGTAGATTGTCTTGGACAATCAGGTCAGGCGTTCTGACCTGAGGAAGGCGGGCGATCCGAAAACCATCGCACCGTATTTGGGGAAGTCAGACGCATTGTGAAAGGTGTGCTAGAAGTAGCAACATGGACAGAAACGGGTGACACAGCAGCACTCTTGAAGTAGGTGATGAAGTGTCACCGGCAGAAGGTACAGGGGTATGAGAAAAGTCGAGAGAATGGACCGATAACGAAACCAGATCAGAACAGGGTGTGGGATCAGAAAGGGGCGTAGGAGGAGGAAGGGTTTCATTAGGTGAAGACTCCATAATAAAGGTGATTCTTCAATGATATCTCCTTTCTTGTTATTTTTAGAAAAAAAAAGGAAAGAAAGAAAAAAAAGAGAGGGACAGTCACTAGGAGGTATGGAAGGGCTGGAAGTTCACCCCCCCCCCCCTCAACCGAGAGGGCCTAGAGCCCACAGGCAGTGAAGATGCAGCGTGGAACCCGTGCCATACCCTACCCTTCATGCCAGTAAACCAGCGCCCTGGGATACCAGCCTCACATCTACCGAGCCACATCAGCGGACAAAAGGAAGGGCGGTCGGAAACGTACCACAAAGCATACCTCATTCAACTGCTACCTCCCAGAACCGACAGGCAGTTTCCGGAGATACACCCATTATCCGAAACGAACCCCGCCCACTTCTTGTAAATCCAGAAAGGGAGCGGGGCACCTTCAGATAATTCAGATTCCACGGCAAACCACACCACCCCTGGGGGACCCCACGGAGTGGGATGAACCCCGGCACACTTCCCCCTACTTAGAAACCATAATGCCCAAGGGGAGAACCTCAGAGACTACAAATTGAACAGGAAATAAGGGAAGGGTGGGGAAAAGGGAGGAGAGGGGGAGCATGGAGAGGGAGGATTGGGGGGGGTAATTAGGTTCGATCGGAGGAAGAAGACCAAGAGGTCCAATTCCTCCGACCGATAGCCTCTTTACCTTGGCAAGGAGCTCCCCTTAAAGAGAAGTAGTGGAGACAAGTGATTTTTGTGTAATGTAAGCATGGTAACTTATGTGAAGGTATTCAGGGAACCTAGTTAGCATGGTAACTTGTGTGAAGGTATTCAGGGAACCTAGTTAGCAGACTTGTGTTCTGGAGGTGTGGGTACAGTACAATACCTTCACTCTGGATGATGACCAGGAGTGTTGCAGTTTGATTTATGTCCATGCACTTTTGGAAAGACAGCTAGAAGAGTGATGGTGAATGTGCTTCCTTCTTTTTATCACCCTCCATATCTTGGTGAGAAATTGCTTATGTTTACACCAAATGCCTACACTTTTTTTTTTTTTTTTTTTTTTTTTTTTAAGTTTTTTAATAGGCTCAGCAACTTCTCAGGATGGACATTTGACCACTCTGTGCAGATCTTTTCAATTCCTCTCGACCTTCTTGAATGCATGTTTAGGCAAAACTTTGCATTATTTTCCTAGTAAGGTAGTAGGCCTCTCATTCTAGTCCTGAAATTCTTGATGATAAGACATTGGTCGATATTGGATTCTCATCTTATCGATATTTCCTTATGGCAATCACAAAATTTGTGAAGGCCAATAATCATTTTCCCATCATCTGCAAATTCTTTGACCTTCCCTCTTTTGTCTTGTGAAATTGCCAGAATGACATAGTAAGATTATCTTCTAAATATTTGTGTCCTAAGACATGTGCAATATCTTTGAAAAATGGTTCCACTTTCTCAGAAGCTTTTCATTCTAATATAGAGCATGAGGATGGAGACTTTTATAGTGGAGCCAGTGAAAGGGAGAGGTGAGGCAGTTGGAGACATGCTCACACATGGGTGAAGCCCACTCATAGAAGTAGGTGACATCAACTGCTCTCCCTCTACTTTTTCCACTGACTCCACTATGAGTCTCTGCTCTATGCCTCTGTATAAAATTGAAAACATTTGCTTTACAGGCAAAATGTCTCAGTAATGATGCCCAGGTGTTGCACATGTGTCTTATTCCCAAAATATTTATGTTCAATGTTTATAATATGTACATGAAATTTCTTTGAAAATTTCTTTGCAGGTATGTTACCATTTTTGACAGATATGCAACTGACACATACAATATTGATAGTCATACACTTCAATAACAAATTTTATATATGGAAGGGTATGGATGCTGCTTAGTGCATCATTTGACTTAAACGGCTAAAAAAAAGCAAAATACAGTGGACCCCTGCTTAACGATCACCTCCCAATGCGACCAATTATGTAAGTGCGTTTGTACGTGTATGTTTGGGGGGTCTGAAATGGACTAATCTACTTCACAATATTCCTTATGGGAACAAATTCGGTCAGTACTGGCACCTGAACATACTTCTGGAATGAAAAAATATCGTTAACCGGGGGTCCACTGTACTGTGACTGGAACAATACACAAATAATCCAGATGTAGGAGAAAGAAGTTTATGACGACATTTCGGTCCAACTTGGACCATTAATAAATCAGTGTGAATAGTTATTGGTCCAAGTCGGACTGAAACGTCTTCATGAGCTTCTTTCTCCTGTGTGCGGGTTATTTGTGTGTGGATCATTTGAATTATCTATAAAAACAGAGAATGAGTGATGTAAATAATGTACTTGCATCTCATTGTGTATCTCATTATTTTGGTGGAAAATGGACTTTGCTAAATATCAAGAACAAGAAATTATATGTTGTACTCTTGCATTATCCTGCTAAATAAACCTTTTACTCTCATATCATCCAAGGTCTAAATAAATTTGGAGGGTACCGTTTCATACATGTTCTACACACAACCTACATTGTGAGGTCAGGTCTTGACCTGAGAAACATTTGATATATATGTGTATAATTAGTACATTTAGATTTATATTATGTATATTTAGTATTTCTGTGTAGCACTGATAATTTTCTCTGCATATATGCAGTATTTATTATTTTAAGATGAATTTTGTAAGCAAGCTTGTTGCAACTGTCCACTTTTGTTTACATTTAATTGTTATTCTAGTCATATAGTCATATTCTAGTCATATATGTACATGTAGTCATATTCCAGTTTTATAGTCATATTCTAGTCATATACTAGCAACAATACAATAATCTATAGGAAATCAGTAACACACTAGATTAAAATTGAACAAAAAATTATCGAAGTATTTTGTATGTCCAGTGTAGGGAGAGGTGTGAGTTGTATATTGGTGCATCATGCGAGATTCTGAAATAAATGCCATTAAATACTTGTAATGTGCCATGCAGAAAAACAGTGTCTGTCTACACCTTTGTTTTATAGTGAGTCATCATGAGCTGCTCTGAGCTAGTGATTGTAAAGTTTTTTTTGTCTGCAGCCACTTGGCCATGATGATCACAAATACTGCGTTGGTATCGTTATATTTCTGTATTATGGGTAAAAGAGCTCCTGGGAAATGGTAGTTAGGTTTGATTCAAGGAAGGGGAAGGTAGTGCCAATTAATTGGATGAAGAGACCTCTACCACCACCAACACACATCTTAACCCTTTCGAGGTTGAGACCCCTGATCTCGGACTTCTCTCAGGGTCGAAAAATTAAAAAAAAAAAAAAATTATGAAATGATAATCTTTTTCCAAAGGTAATGAAACCAAAAGTACAAAACTTGATGGAAAACTTACAGAATTACTCTCTCGCAAAGTTGTCTCAGCGATATTTACTCAGCAGCAATTTTGCCCACTGTGCCCTATTTTTGGCCAATTCCATTGTTCCAATAGCTATTTTGCTAGTATTCCTTCTATTGAGTACAAAATACTGCCCATTTGCCTATTTCAACTACCCAATAAAGTGATCAGAAATAGGTAATTTGGCCAGTTTCACACAAAATTCAACAATTGCCAATTTGAAAATAGGTCCAGAATAAACAATGTAGATATTCCTGGCACTAAAAAGAATTTCCTGTTTCTTAGTCACGTCTCCAGGCCCCTCTTATATTACACTTGCTTATCATTTTGAATTTTTATTCACACAAAAAAGATGATATACTGTTATGCAGACTACTGCATTGTTGTAATTATATAAATAATGTCAGTGCACTCCTAAATGCATATTAGACTGGCCAGTTGGACATGTATTGGACAAGTTACGTCATCTATATGCTGGAATATCGCCAAAAATTGAACATTTCCTCTACTTTGAGCTCTATTTCAAGCTACTTTGTCCTGAAACTAATCAAAATCCTCTCTATTACTGTAACATATCTTCCATTCTATCAAATGAGACCAAGAAACTGAGAATACAACCATAAAAACCATACGAAAATACACTGCAAAGTTACTGTTTTAAACCAAAAACATTGTCGCAGTTTTCTCATTATGCACTGCATGGTGCAGGATTTTTTTTATATGGTGCACACTTACCTCATAGACCCATTCTCTAATATCAAGGCCCAAATTTACCCCTCACAACTTATCTGAGTGAGCTGAGCTGATGGCATTGTACTACAGGATCAACACTGGCTTCAAAGCCGTGATACTCTGGGACCGACCCTGAAAGGGTTAGAGGAACTACTATATTATAAAATCTAGAAATACAGAACATCCAGTTTCAAGGAATTTCTCAATCATGACGTTGCATCTCTTCTCGTAAGTCCAAATTAAGGCCCCCTGCCCCTACTTCCCCAACACTAGCAGTAATCCCCACACTTTTTCCCCTCTGCCCCCTTACCCACACCTATAACCTTGACTGTTTTCGATGCAACAATACAAACACCAGCCCCTGCCATACCTTCCCCACTCCTGACAGATGAGCAACACACAGAAAGACTAGTCATGGAAATCATTAATAATGCAGTTTTCAGAAACTTAACCTGTGCAAATTATTAAAGTCCTCTGTACAATTCTAGTGATGTTCATAACTCAGTTACTCTGTGCTTATATGATATGACAGCATATGCTAGTACTGATCAATTTCCTTATAGTTTGTGCCTTCCTTTTCTGTTCACCCTGTTCATATCTTTTCCATTCCAGCTTTGGAGGTGCATGGCCTTTTCCTTTCCAGTGTCCTCTTAAATTTGTTGGTAAACACCGTATGTAACAGCAAATGCCGCTTCTCCCGCCACAGTGCCATCACCAGTGAAACTATGGCTATATAACTACATAATTGATAAAGCCACTGGTTGGTACAACGTCTAAATAATAAGTAACCTAAGCATTGCATGTCTTACTGATCTACTTCTCTGTTGTGTAAACCATTAATACAAGTCCACTGATAGCTATCAGGAAGGGGGTAGTACTGAGGATGCACCCTTGCCATACCCCTTTGATTTGCAGTCAGGGAAGTTTTATTTACTTTGAACACAAGCTGCATATGCCTTAGACGACCTCTTGAAATGAGCTGCAAAAAAATTAAGGATTCATTCACAAAAGCTCTATATATTTATTTTCTTTATTAAATATAAAATAATTTTTAAATTTATTTCATCTACAAACAAAAATAAAAAGTAATATACAATAAGTTTTTTAAAAGTAATTCCGAAAGAAAAAAGTATACTCCCTCGCAACTTTTGTACATCTGTGAGCTGTGCTGTTTCCAAATTCAATAATTTATCAAGACTACAATTTGTCAAGTTAAATACAATATTCTTCATGCATATGAAACTGTGGCAATTGAAAAGTACTTATGAAAACAAACAAAAAGAACCCTTATTATTAGAGGTACAAAGGTTTCTGCACCTGATGCACTACTCTCCTACCAGCTAAACTGAACACGTCTTTGATTTCCTGGTCACTTGAGAAAGTTCACTATATGTGAATGAAATGCTATTTACCTCTAATAACATTTCTGTTTTTAAGTCTCTTATTTTTATCACTTCTAGCAATTTTCAGTTAAATCACATTTTAAACCCTTCATGGGAGGTGCCTTGAGGCATGATGGGTCCTAAATCCAAGTAACAATGTGTCCTCCATTTCCTAGGATCAAACCTGAATGCCTTCCATCTCTATATGACCCTTAAGGGTTTAGTCCTTCACCCTGATTAAAGAAAAATCAACACAAAATCATTCTAATTATATATAATCAATACTTTTTTATGTAAATTGCATGTGTCCCATAATTCATTATTCCAGAATATAATTAGGATGTACAACGAGCACTGGGTCTTCGTCTTCATCAGTACCCAATGAGGAGTCCTTCAGGCCACTACGAGTCAAGGGGATGATTACTTGGTCCTGTAAAAAAACAAAAAGTATAGTACAGTGGAACCTCAGTACTCAAACATCTCCCTGATTGAATAATTCATTATTCGAACACTTTGTTCGGTAAAAAAATCACTCAGTAGTCGACTGTTTGCTCGGCATTCGACCAAACAAGCATGACCTGCAGAAACTTCGCTGTAAACTATTTCAAGTTTCTTCACATTATTTGGTGTCTTTTTATATCGTATAAATAAGTCACCATGGGGCCTAACAAGATTAGTGTTAACAGCCAACCAAAAAAAAAAAAAAAAAAATGGGTTGGGAAAAATTCGTTCGGTACTCGAATAGCCTTCTGGAACAAATTAAGTTCGAGTACTGAGGTTTCACTGTAGTACGTATATGTACACAAGCAATTTCCATATGTTTAGTTCTGCACTATAAAAATAAGCTGGTTAAAAAATGTCAAAATCCTGCATATATCAGCAACTTCATGAGTTTACTAAAAATACATTAATTCTACAGTCTACAAGAAACTTTTTTGTTTCAGTTACTTGATGGATTTTTTTTTTTTAACATGATGGCCGTCTCCCACAGAGGCAGGGTGAACCGGAAAAAAAAATTTTCACCATCATACACACATCACTGTCTTTGCAGACGTGCCCGGACATGACAGTTTAGATTTGACTCCAAACAGCCAATATCCCAAACCCTTCCTTTAGAGTGCAGGTATTGTACTTCCCACCTCCAGGACAAGTCTGGCTAATTAACTTCCCTGAATCCCTTCACAAAATATTACCCTGCTCACACTCCAACAGCTCATCAGGTATTATGCCTTGTTAAATTCCTATGACCCTTGTGGGTTTAGTGCTTAATCTTGATTGTAATAATTAAAATCCTTCACACAAATATTTCATCATACTGTTTTTATACCACGCTGTCTTGCATTATATTAACACAGTATAGCATCTTATCTGTTAACAGTTGCAGATATCGTCATCCCTGTGGCCCAGCCCTTAGATTTTTTACCTAATGTATTAGCCCTTGTGTATGATTACTATGTACGTTTAATGTGCAGATATATTTTTTTGTCAATGTGCATTGCTTTTAATTCTGGCAAAAAGTTTTATTTTGACCAAATACATACACAGTACTTTATGAGAGGTGCATTTGTGGTATACTGTACTCCCAAATCTTTTTTTTATACTGTACTCCCAAATCTTTTTTTTTTATTCAATGAAATAAAATATAAAATAATTCTTTCTTAGACAGTGATTCAAATGAACAGTTTTTCTCAATGGTGCAACGGGTCAGCAAAGCTGCAATTACTTTCCTGAAAAGCAACAGATCCTGAAATTGTATATAAATATACCACAAATAACAGTTTACAAATGAAGATGCCTTAAATACTAAGGGTCTTTCATAATGTAACCTAATAATCAGGTAACAATTTTGGCACGAAATGTTTAATATTTAATGAAACACATACATTACTCTAACATCAATTTAATTAATGTACTTACATGGTATGTCAGTCTGTCCAGAACCTTCTCAACAATCATCTTCTTTTCTATTAGTTCAGCCTCGGATTCTATATCACCACCTATTTCATTTAAGTACCAGTTTATGACAGTTGATCTCCTTAACCCTGAAGTCTCCGTTTCATCTTCCTCCATGCGCTGCTCCTCCTTCCGCATGTGCACAATCAGAAGATTAGACATGCTGCGGTACGCTTCATATGACAACTTCAATTTCTTCTTCTTCATGGCATCAGATGTTGCTCCATCATCATCAGGATTATGTACACCTGTGTTAACAGTGTTTGTACATATTAAAACTATATGCGCAAATATCTGACTATTTTATTTTCACGAAATTGTATATATACCATATGCTCTTTGCACGACTGTTTGTGTGTGTTCCATGTAATTGAAAAAGCCCCCTGTGATGAAATATATTAATAAGAGGTTTCATTACTTTTTTTTTACCAGCATATACTTGGCTGACAAATGTAACAGTAGTGCTACCATCAGGATGCTAAGATTTCTTCAAGGCACTCTTAACTACCTATGTGTAACCAATCCTAAAGTACAGATCACCAATGTGGAACACCCTCACCTACCCAAACAAAAATCGAGACTTGAGAAATTTCAAAGTAAATCATCATGACTAAGTCCAGGGTCCAGGGTTCAGAGGATTCAACTATAAACAGACTGTAGTTGTCATCTTTGGTAGAACACAATACTGTGTATATGTAAACATACCATTAATTTGACCATTGGGATCCCTGTTCTCATCTGTCTCCATGGGTTCTTCCACTTCTTGCTCCTCTTCAACATCTTCCAGGTGAACATCTGGTTGTTCAACACGAATGATTGACTTGTTAAGCAACCGGTAGGCTTCTTTAACATGTTTTGGTTTTACCTGAGGACATACATGTTTTATACAGTCACATTATATGAATATCTGCCACAACTAAGCAGTATATAAATACTTTATTTGCATATTATGTTACATCTATTAGCTATCATATCTTGCAGTGATATACAATACTACATCTAATATAAATGGGAAAATAATTACCTCATCTGAACAATGCATTCTGGCCATAGCCTCAGACAATCGAATCATAGACTCAAGCTGACGAACAGTAATGCGCCACGAAGACTTTGCAGCCCCAGAACAGTCACGCTGGCGAAGGTTGCGATACTGTTCCACTAAATACTCACTAGCTTCCTAGAAAGGTAATATAGATTGGGAAGAAATGCATATAAAGTATTCTACTCTGCCTCCATACCTTGGTGGGAGATGGCTGATATTTAAAATTTCAACAATAAAATTATAAATAAATTATACCAAGACAATACGAAATTAAAATACTGAACTTACCTTATTAAGTTTTGGTTTGAACTGTCTAGCAAACATAATATAGCGCTGAATTTCTTCTAAAGCATAGGTTCTGTCAATGCTCTCTTCGTTGTGACAATGTAAATCAACAATTCGCCGTGCAATGGCATAATCTGTTACCTGAAAAATAAATTTTACATTAAGAAATGAAAATTCATATCATGAATTCAGAAGAGAAACCTTTCAGTACTGAACTGCCATCCCACAGGTGATGAGAAGAGCATGCTAGCCAATACACCAGATATTTGCAACCAAGATTTTTTTTTTTTTTGAGTCCACCAGAGTATGATTAACTCCACTGTGCTACAAACTGTATTTTGCATTACTGTGAACTCAGGAGCCAAATAAAAAATCTTGTCCCCACATTCCTATATACACAGAGATTTGTCACTATCATAAATGTAACAATATGAAGAGGATAGAATCGTGCAGAATCAAACTATACCTGTGGCTGGTTTCAAGTGGTCTTTTACCTTGCAGATGAATCTAAGGCCAGGTTTTGTTGGTGAAGATCTGGTCAGCCAGGCTGTTGTTGCTAACAGCCTACAAGCCTACATAGACACCATCTTGCACTTACAGTAGGTAGCATTCCACAGGCAATGTATTAGGGTACTCACTCCATGACCAGTGAGCAGTGGTCCTATCCAGCAGTATTCTGGATTCCTCTCATCTCAAACTATATTAGGTCTTCACTCTCAGTACTTTTTTTTTTTTTTTCAACAAGTCGACCATCTCCCACCGAGGCAGGGTGACCCAAAAAGAAAATACTTTCATCATCATCATTCAACACACTCACCTCACTCATACATAATCACTGTCAGTACATGTACACAATTATTTTTTTTAACACACTGGCCGCCTCTCACCGAGGCAGGGTAACCCGAAAAAGAAACACTTTTAACGTCATTCACACTATCACTGTCTTGCCAGAGGCAGGTAACAGGTATAAAAAAAAATTCTAGCATCTTGCCACTAAAGAACTAATATATTAATTACATATAATCTACCAAACTTTCCCAGCTTTGTTATCCACTTCACTTGTTTTAAGTCAACAACAGTAACAGAAATCCCATCGGAAGCAAACACAGAAAACTAGCTATATTTACTCTGAGATCACCGTCATTGTAGAATGGCTTTAAAGGCAAAATCAAATATTTTTAATACCATTAAAACAATTACTTCAAGATGTCTCATTTATGTTCATAATATAAAATATTTCTACAAAATTATGCCACTCAAGTACATAAAGTGGAATGAGAATGAATGTGTGAAAGGCTTCAAAGAGTGGGAAGAATATTAGGTTTTCAAGAGCGACTCATTTGTTTTCACACGAAATAAATACAAAACATCACAAATTTTCAAGCTGCCACAAAATGAGAATCAGGATAGCAAAGCACTCAAATACAGCCTCTCCTCACTTAACAGAATTCCATTCTTAACATCAGTAAATGAATTCGTCACTAAGCAAGGAGGGTTTGTGTCAACCATCTTTGATAATGTTTTAATGTCACCTTTGCACCATTTATAACATTTTTAGTATATTTTTAAATGTTTATACAGTAGTGCATTGTATATTGTAAAAACAGAATAGAGGAAATCAGCTCTAATATACATTATTTAGGTAAACGTACTGGTCAGAGAGCCTGTCGTAACTCCGAGTCGTCAGTAAACAAGTATAGTACATCGCTAAGTGAGGAGAGGCTGTATTCAAATATTTCATATAAACAAAAACAATGTTTTACAAAAGAAGCCCCTTAAGCCTGCCCATAATGCTCTGCGTACAAGGGGCTTGTAGTATGTGCACTTAACCATTGTATTTCTTTGTACGTCTATGTATCATGTCCAAATTAAAAATAAATAAATAAATAAATGTTATATTAGCAAAGAATTTACTCTGATATTTTTAAATCGAGGATAATTGTATTTTTTATAAACGAGCAAACAAAACAAAATTTGGTACTGTACCGAGATGAAGTACCTTAACAAGAATATACACTGTAATAAAGCTTACCTCATTACACTCGTCCACAAGAATGAAGAAAAGATCAAAACGTGACATGATAGGGGCTGACAGTGCAATATTCTGGCGAAGAGACTTTGTTCGGTCATAGCGGCCACCGATTGGATTAGCAGCAGCCAATATTGAAGTACGAGCATTCAGTGTAGCCTTTACACCTGCCTGTACAAAGTTAAATAATATCAATCTTCCGAAACATATATTGTAAAAGGCTGAATACTGAAATGCGAAACGAAATACAAACTTAAGAAGTGTTTTTTCTTGATATCAAGCAAAAATATACTTGCAGTAGAAACCTAGATTCACTATCACACTTCATATAAAATATACAGCATCCACAAAGAACGAACATTCACAAAATAATTTACAAAAATTACCAAAATATTATTAACCAAATTTCAAAGATGAAATAATTAAGTGAAATAATGAAAACATTGTTATTGTTTAGACAAGGTGTGTCTTTCATAAATGAATGAATTCAAAGCCCTATTAGCATTAACCGATCGTCTGGATGGTAACAGGTTTCACTCAATGAGTTTATGAAAGGAACTTTGCTTCCACAAGTGATTACATCAACATCCCTCGGTCCCATGAATGCAAGCAAGCAAAAAATATTTAGCCAACAGTCACCACCTACTACACAAATAACCTCTGTTATTGTTGGGTTGAAAGGCTGTGGTGGTTCTGAGCAACTCTGAGAGCAACTAAATTCTAATGGCTGTGAGATTGACTATCAGTAGGCTTGGGTGATATTTTTAATGGTATACAATACTGACTTGTCAATGAATCAAATATATGTAACATTTTGGTATATTTATTGCTGAAATGTATCGTCTGCACAGCAGGCTTCTTCACTCAAGCAGAGAGGTAATTTTTAGACTGGAAACAGTGGGAGATATGAAGTAATTTTCCAAAGTTAGTCCCTTAGTATCTGCATTTGACTGAAACCTGATGCTCAAGCTAAATGTTTCAGCAGTAAAGATAACCAAATGTTGCACACAAGTCTTATCCATACTTTAGGGAATTTTCAGTCAGATAATAAATGAATTGTTATATATATAATAATTATAAAATGAGAAAATTGTGAAAAAAATATTAAGCAACAGAAATTTTATAAATACAGTCAACTATCTCATACTGTTCCCCTCACCTTAGTAATTGAGATTGTCTGTTGTTCCATAGCCTCGTGAATAGCAACTTGATCTCTTACATCCATTTTGTCAAACTCGTCAATACAACACACACCATTATCAGCCAACATAAGGGCGCCAGCTTCTATAACAAACTCGTGAGATTCTTCATCTTTTACCACAGCTGCAGTTAAGCCAGCAGCTGAAGATGCTTTACCAGAGGTGTAAACAGCTCGGGGACTGAAGTCGGCCACCTAGAAAATAGCAGTAATAAATTATCAACTTTCATCCCAAATGACTCTCCATCCCCTCCACTTCTACTAAATGGATTGCAAGGTTTTTCTTTTTCTTTTCAAGTTCATTCTAGTTCTCACCATCTACAATAAATAATGGTAATACACTTCCTTTAAACATTCATGCATTACTTTGCATGGCTGTCTCTTCACCTTGAATCATAATATTTAGCTAGTCCCTTCAACGTAGTGATATCAATATATTCCATGACAATTTCTTTATAGCATATACTCTCAAATTCTTAATTTAAACATTTCTCCTGAATTTTACTATACTTCATAACCTATTAAACTATTATTAAGAATGTAAAGATGAACCTTTACATTCTTAATAAACAAGTTAAATTCTCTTAAAGTAAATTTCTTCATTTGCATCTTGTTTTGTTTGGTTCCTCTTATTCTTTCTTTTGCACCTGCATAAGTGCAAAAGTAAGACTTAGGTCTCGAGACACTCCCCAGATAGGGAGCCAAGGCAGGGTCACCACTCTTGGAAAAGACCCGGGCCGGGAGAGTACCGACGAATAAAAAAAAAAAAAAACTATGCATAACCAAATATACTAACATTTGAAAATAACAAAAGTCGGTCAAAAGCATGAATTTAATTTTTATAAGAAATCCATCACATTTCCCATAACTGCTCAAAACTATCCCCAAGTCCAAAAAGGCTGAAGTGTTAAAAACAAATATTTCTTCTTCTTTCAACACACCAGCCGTATCCCACTGAGGCGGGGTGGCCCGAAAGGAAAAACGAAAGTTTCTCCTTTTACATTTAGTAATATATACAGGAGAAGGGGTTACGAGCCCCTTGCTCCCGGCATTTTAGTCGCCTCTTACAACACGCATGGCTTATGGAGGAAGAATTCTGTTCCACTTCCCCATGGAGGTAAGAGGAAATAAACAAGAACAAGAACTAGGAAGAAAATAGAAGAAAACCCAGAGGGGTGTGTATATATATGCTTGTACATGTATGTGAAGTGTGACCTACGTGTAAGTAGAAGTAGCAAGACGTACCTGAAATCTTGCATGTGTATGAGACAAAAAAAAAAGACACCAGCAATCCTACCATCATGTAAAACAATTACAGGCTTCAGTTTTACACTCACTTGGCAGGACGGTAGTACCTCCCTGGGCGGTTGCTGTCTACCAACCTACTACCTAAAAAAACAATTTTTTTTTTTCAACAAGTCGGCTGTCTCCCACCGAGGTAGGGTGACCCAAAAAAGAAAGAAAATCCCCAAAAAGAAAATAGTTTCATCATCATTCAACACTTTCACCACACTCACACATTATCACTGTTTTTGCAGAGGTGCTCAGAATACAACAGTTTAGAAGCATATACATATAAAGATACACAACATATCCCTCCAAACTGCCAATATCCCAAACCCCTCCTTTAAAGTGTAGGCATTGTACTTCCCATTTCCAGGACTCAAGTCCGACTATATGAAAATAACCGGTTTCTCTGAATCCCTTCACTAAATATTACCCCGCTCACACTCCAACAGATCGTCAGGTCCCAAGTACCATTCGTCTCCATTCACTCCTATCTAACACGCTCACGCACGCTTGCTGGAAGTCCAAGCCCCTCGCCCACAAAACCTCCTTTAACCCCCTCTCTCCAACCCTTTCGAGGACGACCCCTACCCTCCTTCCTTCCCCTATAGATTTATATGCTTTCCATGTCATTCTACTTTGATCCATTCTCTCTAAATGACCAAACCACCTCAGCAACCCCTCTTCTGCCCTCTGACTAATACTTTTATTAACTCCACAACCTTTTCCTAATTTCCACACTCCAAATTTTCTGCATAATATTTACACCACACATTGCCCTTAAACAGGACATCTCCACTGCCTCCAACCATCTCCTCGCTGCTGCATTTACCACCCAAGCTTCACACCCATATAAGAGTGTTGGTACTACTATACTTTCATACATTCCCTTCTTTGCCTCCATAGATAACGTTTTTTGACTCCACATATACCTCAACACACCACTCACCTTTTTTCCCTCATCAATTCTATGATTAACCTCATCCTTCATAAATCCATCCACCAACACGTCAACTCCCAAGTATCTGAAAACATTCGCTTCTTCCATACTCCTCCTCCCCAATTTTATATCCAATTTTTCTTTATCTAAATCATTTGATACCCTCATCACCTTACTCTTTTCTATGTTCACTTTCAACTTTCAACTTTCAAATATACTGTATATATAAAATAATCTGCACCATTTACCTGCTTAAGAAATTGAGATTTAGCTGTGGATGGATCACCAACAACACACACATTAATATCACCTCGAAGTGTCGTACCTTCCATTGTTACCTTGGGAACTCCTCCGAACATCATCAGCAAGATTCCTGCAACGTTAAAGCATGCCATTAATAAAATTTTAAATAAAATAAATTTTTTTGTAACACCCTCACTGTCTCCTACCGAGGCAGGTTGACCCCAAAATATAAACACTTTCACCATCATTCATGCTATCACTGACTTGCCAGAGGTGTGTAGATATGACATTTTGGATATCCCTACAAACAACAAATATCCCAAATCCCTCCTTTAGCCTGCAGGCACAGTACCTCCTGCCTCAAAGATTCAAGCCTGGCTAACTGGTAAACAATTAAATATTTACTTTTTTTTTTTAAATCAATCATATTTTGTAGTTTTACTAGCAGTCATTTGAGAAGTGATCCCCAGGCACCTGTAACCACAGGCAAGGGTACAGCCATTTTTACTTCAACAGACTTCTCCCACCAAGACAGGGTGACCAAAGCTATAAGTAAAGAATTATACCATATACATTTAATTTTGCAATATTTATAGTAATTTATGCACTACATTACTTTTGAAAAGTTTACAGAGGAATGTTAATACTGTAGTAGTAAACAAGTACATACCCCTCTTGACTTCATCATTCCCATGAATAGTAGGGAAGAGGGATGATATAAGATTCTGGTACAGGTTCTTGTCTCTGGACATTTCATACACTTTGTTCCACTCAAGCTCAGTCATCTGTCTCTTAATTCCTTCAGCAGTCAACTCTTCTCCACGAATTTCCTTTCCACCAAACTAGTTTAACAATTATAAACATTACTGTTACTTAACTATACATTGGTATTCAATAGCCCATACCAGTTCAGCATAATGCAGCAATGATATTGTTAATAATAATAATCAAAATAGTTATAATCACTTCATACTAATCCACAAATGAATAATCTGTGAGTAACACAATTATACAGTCCAGGCATTTCCTTGGTAAACATGCAATCTGTGATTGAAGAGCATCTTGCCATCCTGGTAAGAAGGCTTTTACAATTACTATAGTAACTGAAGTGAAATTATGGTGAAGTTTATCAGCTGATACCCTCAGTACTTAACCAAAATAAAAGCCACATTTCCTTACCATACTGTATCAAGTAAAGGAACTCAATTCATCTGTACCAGACAAACATGTAGCAAAGATAAAGACATTTGATAAAGCAAAACAAAGAAATAATGTGAAAAAAATGTGGTAGGTAGCACCAGTTGGGCCCCCTCAACATATCAACACTGGTAAAAATAAAAGCCACATTCACCAAATTTTAATAAATAAGAACTAACCACACCTCTACCAAACATGTCTATACTAAAGATAAATTCATCTGAAAAAGTAATAAACAAAATAGAGTATATTTACATAAAATGCTGTGGGAGGCTGTGTTTGGGAGATGGGGAGAGCAGCAGAGACTCTGGTTTTTGCTCCCAAAATAAGATTTGTCTGTATAACTTATTTTGTGTGATCTATACATGAGGAGCCAACTTTCATATTTAGTGGTAGAGAAAGTACAGTAATTTGTCAGCTACACTGCAGGCTTTAGCAAGAGTCCAAGCCAGAATCGACAAGAAAATAACACCTCCACCACCTTTCTCAAAATATTACTATGTTGATATAACGGGCAGCAAACAGCCCATACATTTTTCCTTATTAACTAAGTCAACACTGAGTTGTTTTATCTTGAAAGGTGTAGAGAACTTCTTTAATATGTGAAGTGTTTTGGCAGTCAGCTGATGTAATACCTACACTGCAGGGAATGCATACTGTACTTCCGCTATAACTTTCTTGCTAAAACATAATCACTATTGCCAATCACCATGTTCAACAACTGAAGAAATACAGATAGAGTAGACACACCACTGCTAGAGGCACAGAAATATGTAGTACTGTATAAGTATACTAGATGATATTAAAGTTTTGTGAATTCTTGGTAATTTAAACTTTTTATCCAGGTCTCAAGAAATCGTAATGACACGATTGCAAACAAACCATACCCCCGGCCGGGATTGAACCCGCGGTCATAGAGTCTCAAAACTCCAGCCCGTCGCGTTACCCACTAGACCAGCTAGCCACAATAAGATTCATCCAACTAGGTATATTTCTACACCATAGGAAGGTTAGCACAGGCACCACTATGACCACAAATGCAAGTTTTTACAGACGAATCTCCAGCTAGCGTGGCCGTGACGAACTCTAGCTCAAATCCCTTCACAGTCAACAGTGAAGGGACTTGAGCTCGAGTTCGTCATGGCCATGCTAGCTGGAGATTCGTCTGTAAAAACTTGCATTTGTGGTCACAGTGGTGCCTGTGCTAACCTTCCTATGGTGTAGAAATATACCTAGTTGGATGAATCTTATTGTGGCTAGCTGGTCTAGTGGCTAACGCGACGGGCTGGAGTTTTGAGACTCTATGACCGCGGGTTCAATCCCGGCCGGGGGTATGGTTTTTTTTATCCAGGTGTTTTATATAAATTAAGCCTTCATAAGCTATATCAATTTTGAAACACATTAGTTAGGTAAGAAAATGCTGTCTAGTGGCCTTACTTGTTCTCACTTAGCAAGACTAGTAAGAGGACTGGGGCACTGCTCGTACACAGTGAGGGTACTACCTAAATTTTGCACATTATCCAACTTTTTTTTTTTTTTACATTTATGAAGCATACAGTATTATCGAGGTTATTTCAAACACTGCAATTTTTGATGCACTTTTTCAATGATATGTACATAAAATCATACTATAGACTAGAGAAACCATCTACTAAGGAACACAGGGACCAAGTGTGGGCCAACATGAGAAAGATTACTATATCCCTAGGAGGCTACCTTAACTACAGAGGCTATGATTACAATTATGTTTATTTTCTTTATTCATATTAATAATGTACACCTTTATAACACATCTTAAATCAAGATAAGAGCCTTAGAGCTGACCAATTTCATTACAACTTCAATAAAAAAATTTACGTTAGCTATTTCCCACTGCTCCCAAAGTGTGCAGACATTTCAATTCCAATGACCCTCAAACTGCAGCATCCCCACCAAACCTTCAAAATTCTTACTCCATATATATATTTTAATGAAAAATTATTAGAATAGTTTGGAGAGATATATTGTGTATTTTTACACGTATATACGTACTTCTAAACTGTTGCATTCTGGGCACCTCTGCAAAAACAGTGATTATGTGTGAGTGAGGTGAAAGTGTTGAATGATGATGAAAGTATTTTCTTTTTGGGGATTTCTTTCTCTTTGGGTCACCCTACCTCGGTGGGAGACGGCCGACTTGTTGAAAAAAAAAAAAGTTGTGCCATAATGGGTTTCTTATTTTCATGCAAAATAATTTTAATAATAATAATAATAAAAAAAAATCCAGCAAACTGTTAAAACCTATTCGAGAACTACACGGGATGAAACATGAATTAAGCAAGACTAACCTTTGGGTTGGTTGGAGTAATGGAACAAGCCAAAAATGCCATTCTGTAGTTAAGATCACGCACACCGAGTGCTTTCAGGCCTGTTACTCCTTCACTTTCTTCACCTAAACAACAAGTAACAATAAGAACTATTACGTGTTTAACATACCTTGTACAAGCATCTAACTATAATAGCTGCACAATAATAATACTGCCAACTCTATATATAATAAAAAAACGTCCAACAAAAGAACTCCTTTTCGACAAAAATATTTAGCCTGAAATCATCTCATTTAAAGTCTCCCATCTGACAAGTGTCTTTTTGGAACTGATCTACAATGTTAGAAGAGACTTGCCTGTGCTGCAAGGCCCCAAGCATTTTTTTAAGGATGCTACACAAGTTAAAAGCCTAATACAATTAGTTTTTGTCTTATTTGTCTCTGACCACTGGCTTATTAATTAAGAATTAGTTACATTCAACATTCTTAACTGTTACTTACTAAATGCCAATGCACAGCTTTAGTTATTACTCTACCTGTAGCTTCCTAACAAACTCTCAGTAACATTCACAGTGGTCACTTCTCGAATAATTCTCAGTTTACAGTCCTGATCACCTCTGACTCACACTTACCCTTAAATACATTCTAGTGGCTGTAATTATATGCAAAATTATTTTCAGATCAAGTAAGAGAAATTAATAACTGAACATACGCCCTCTTCAGTTTTGACCAGCACTATATTCGTGAGCTTTGGTAAAACTTTGTTGATCAATTTTGCAAAAATTCACACTAAACATACTACACACCTTTATGCCTTGCAGAACTTTCTGCTCGAGCCCCAGGAAGGTTCAATGAAGAAACATCAGGAACTACAATCAAAGATCCTGTGAAGTCACAGCGGTCACCAGCCTGTGCCCTCTCCACAGCCTCAGCACGAACAACTATTTCGACACTAGAAAAATTGAGAGTAACTATAAACAAAACAAACCATATACAAAAGCATGACAACCATACACCAATGTACTACACTGATAATTTTTTTTATAAAATATGAATGTAAGCAAATATTATAAAATTTTAATGCAGCAAGAGAAAAACAATAAAAAATCTTTCATAATAATATAGCAACCTGATCATGCCCTTGAACTGCCAGTGTACATCAAAAGCACCACAAAATGTGAAAGGGAATGAAGGCTTTGGCAGATGGATAGACTAAAATACCAGACCTTAAAAATGCCATTATAGTACATGCTACCTTTGATGAGTTTCGAGACTCTCTTCTCTGAGAGCCCACTACTCACTAGTTACGGTGACACTACGTGAAACCAACATTACATTCAAGAAAGCAGGAACATTTACAACACTAAGGAAACACATGAAATACTGAACAAGATACATGCACCACCTGGGTATTTTCATGGGAGAGATGTTTTGCCTGATCAGCAGATGAAATCTCTCTCCAACAATGATACCAAGTGTTGCACATGACTTATCAAATTGCTGGTCTTATATGCCTTTGATCTAGTGAAATTCTGAAGGCACTGTCTTGTAGTTCAGTGAGCCATTAACAGATTACATATAAACAGTCCACCACCTTTACTCCTTCCAACCCTTCTAGGGTGACTTACCATGCCTTCCCTCCACTAAAGATTTATACATGTATGCCCTCCAAGTCATCCTATTTTGCTCCATCCTCTCTAAATGTCGTAACCACCTCAACAATCCCTCCTTAGCTCAATGGATAATACTTTTAGTAGCCCTGCACCTCCTCCTAATCTCCAGGCTTACTTTTACTGCAAAATAATCTTCCCATCTCCCTCTCTTACATATGCTAACCTGAGCCTCACTATCCTCATAAGAACTCTTAACTGCTTTCAGTAACCTACCACCTATTCCATACACTTACATTTTCCACATTATTTCCATATCCACCCTATCATATGCCTTTTCTAAATCCATAAAAGCAACGAAAGCTTCCTTCACCTAAAATGTTCACACGTATGGTTCAATGTAAACACTTGGTCTACACATCCCCTATCTTTCCTAAAGCTTCCTTGTTCATCTGCAATCCTGTTCATCTTACCCTTAATTCTTTCAACAACTCTATCATACACTTTACCCAGTAAACTCAATAGGTTTTTTTTCTCCTATAATCTTTACACTCTTTTGTCCCCCTTTCCTTTATACAAAGGAACTATGCACACTCTCTGCCAATCCCTAAGTACCTTTACCTCTTTCATAGATATATTGAATAAAGTACCAACCACTCCAAAACTATATTCCCACTTGATTTTAACATTTCTCTCAAGATCCCATCAATCCCAGCTGCTGGAGCCTTAATTAACAGTTTGCCTACTTATTAAACTTCACTGAATAAGCGATCACATTACCTGCGTGGGATGCATCCTCTAGGCAGTTCTGCTTGAACTTCCTGGATGCGAACTTTCTGGAAGTCAACAAAACGGCTCTTGTTTGTGTCAAGCATGAAACGAGCACGGTTGCTACAGACAGGATTTCGGCAGATTGTTGGCTGGGTGAACTGAAATTTAAAAGGGGTTGGCATTATCATTACTCGTTTTCCCATGTTTTATGCAGAATGCAATCATAACAAATTTGCTTAGAAAGCATTCAAGCTCAGGCTAAAATTAAATATTCTAAATATTAATCAAAAAATCAGGCCATATGGTACATATCTACTGTCGTTTATATTTTTATCTCAATTCTATTACTAGGTGTCCCATAGCTTGGTTGGAGACACACTAGCCTCACACACGGAGTGTCCGTGGTTCAATCCCTCTCCAGGTATACCTGGAGAGGGTTTTGGGGATCAACACCCCCGTGGCCCGGTCTGTGAGCAGGCCTCCTTAATGTTGGGCATGTTTCTTCACACTTGCTGTCCCTTTTCACCTACCAGTTAGTAGGTACATGGGTGTTAGTTAACTGGTGTGGGTTGCATCCTGGGGTACAAGACTGAAGAACCCCAATGGTAATAAGATAGACAGTCCTCAATGACATTGACTTTCTTGGGTTATCCTAGGTGGCTAACCCCTCTGGGATAAAAATCTGAACAAATCTTAAGAGAATCATGCAAAAGGAAGCAGTGATTAGAAAAATTTTCAAAATCCAGTCAATAATATAACAAAATGCTTGAAAGATTTCTTGTTCCACTTGACACACTCAGACTTCAAATACAGTACAAGATAATCTGACTTCAAATACTTTTTTTTTTTTCAACAAGTCGGTCGTCTCCCACCGAGGCAGGGTGACCCAAAAAAGAAAGAAAATCCCCAAAAAGAAAATACTTTCATCATCATTCAACACTTTCACCACACTCACACATTATCACTGCTTTTGCAGAGATGCTCAGAATACAACAGTTTAGAAGCATATACGTATAAAGATACACAACATATCCCTCCAAACTGCCAATATCCCAAACCCCTCCTTTAAAGTGCAGGCATTGTACTTCCCATTTCCAGGACTCAAGTCCGACTATATAAAAATTTAACCCGGGGTTTTCCCTGAATCCCTTCACTAAATATTACCCTGCTCACATTCCAACAGTTTTGCAGGTCCAAGTATCATTCGTCTCCATTCACTCCTATCAACGCGCTCATGCACGCTTGCTGGAAGTCCAAGCCCCTCGCCCAACAAAACCTCCTTTACCCCCTCTTTCCAACCCTTTCGAGGACGACCCTACCCTCTTTCCCCTTTCCCCCATAGATTTATATGCTTTCCATGTCATTCTACTTTGATCCATTCTCTCTAAATGACCAAAAAACCTCAACAACCCCTCTTCTGCCCTCTGACTAATGCTTTATTAACTCCACACCTTCTCCTAATTTCCAACACTCCGAATTTTCTGCATAATATTTACAAACCCCACATTGCCCTTGACAGGACATCTCCACTGCCTCCAACCATCTCCTCGCTGCTGCATTTACCACCCAAGCCTTCACATCCATAAAAAGAGGTTGGTACTACTAAAACTTTCATACATTCCCTTCTTTGCCTCCATAGATAACGTTTTTTGACTCCACATATACCTCAACGCACCACTCACCTTTTTTCCCTCATCAATTCTATGATTAACCTCATCCTTCATAAATCCATCCGCCGACACCTCAACTCCCAAGTATCGAAAACTTTCCCACTTCTTCCATACTCCTCCCCAATTTGATATCCAATTTTTCTTTATCTAAATCATTTGATACCCCATAAACCTTACTCTTTTCTATGTTCACTTTCAACTTCTACCTTTACACACATTCTAAAACTCATCCCTAACCTTTGCAATTTTTTTTAGAATTCCCATAAGCACAGTATCATCAGCAAAAAGTAACTGTGTCAATTCCCATTTTGAATTTGATTCCCCATAATTTAATCCCCCCCCTCTCCCGAACACCCAGCATTTACTTCTTTACAACCCATCTATAAATATATTAAACCAGGTGACATTACACATCCCTGGTCTAAGACCTACTTTTACCGGAAGTTTTCTCCCTCTCTTCTAACACACCCTAACCTGAGCCTCACTATCCTCATAAAAACTCTTTTCAGCATTTAGTAACTTACCACCTATTCCATATACTTGCAACATCTCCACAATGCTCCTCTATCCACTCTATCATATGCCTTTTCCTAAATCCATAAATGCAATAAAAACTTCCTACCTTTATCTAAATACTGTTCACATATATGCTTCAATGTAAACACTTGATCTACACATCCCCTACCCACTCTGAAGCCCCTTGCTCATCCGCAATTCCCACACACTCTGAAGCCTCCTTCTCATCCGCAATTCTACATTCTGTCTTACCTCTAATTTTTTCAAATTTTAACCCTACCGACACTTTCCTGGATACTCCCGTAAACTTAATTTCCCCTATAATTTTTACAACTCTTTTGTCCCCTTTTCCCTTTTATAAAAAAGGGACTATACATGCCTCCGCCAATCCCTAGGTATCTTTCCCCCTCTTTTCATACATTTATTAAACAAAAGTACCAAACCACTCCAACACTATATCCCCTCCTGCTTTTAACATTTCTGTCATGATCCCATCAGTTCCCGCTGCTTTACCCTTTCATTCTACGTAATGCCTCACGTACCCCACCACACTTTACATTCCGCTCTTCTTCACTCCTAAAAGATGGTATACCTCCCCGGCCAGTGCATGAAATTACTGCCTCCCTTTCTTCCTCAACATTTAAAAGTTCCTCAAAAAAATTCTCGCCATCTACCTAAAACCTCCCTCTCCCCATCTACTAACTCCCCTACTGTTTTTAACTGACAAATTCATACTTTCCTAGGCTTCTTAATTGTTTAACTCACCCCCAAAATTTTTTCTTATTTTCATTAAAATTTTTTGACAGTGCCTCTCCCACCTTTCATTGTTTCCCTTTTTGCCCTCTCCCACTCTCTTTACCTTTCTTTTATTCCCCAATACTCCCCTTTCTATAACATTTCTGCTTTGAAAAAACCCCTCGTAAGCTACCTTTTTCTTTTTTATCAACCCTTTACTTCACATTCCACCAATCACTCCTCTTTCCTCCCCTGCCCCCCACCCCCTATAACCCAAACTTTTGCCCCACATTCTAATACTGCATTTTTAAAACTTTCAAACCCTTCAACCCCCCCCCTACTCTTTTTGCACTAGCCCCCTTTCGCCAATATCGCTTTATCCGCCCAACTTCCTTCCTCCTTAGTTTATACACTTTTACCCCCCTTTCTTGTTGTTGCCACCTTTTCCCCTTTTCCCATTACCCCTTACTTAAAGTAGCACAACAAATAATGATCCGATATATCATTTTCCCCCCATAAACTTACATCCTGGAGCCCACCCATCAACCTTTTATCCACCAAACATAATCTAACAAACATTTCATTTCGTGCACATCATACCTTGTATATTATTTATCCCCTTTTTCATAAAAAATTTTTATTAAAATTTTTTACCAAATTTCTTTTTACCATAGCTCAATTAAAGGCTCCCCATTACATTTACCCCCGACACCCCCAAAATTTTCCTACTACTCCCTCCCAAAAATTTTTACCCCCTTTAGCATTGAAATCCCCAACCACCATTACTCTACCTTGATTTAAAACCCCCCATGCATTCACTAACATTTCCCGAATCTCTCTCTCTCCCTTTACACTCTCTCTTCTCCAGGTCATACACGCTTACTAAACCCACTTTTTCACATCCAATCTTTATTTTACTGTCCACATATCCTTGAATTTATACATTTGTAGTCCCCTCCTATTTCCTGCCATAGTTTTATGCCTCACATATGCTACCCTTCTTTAGCTCTAAACCTCTCTATTTGAAACCCTGACCTAATCCCAGTTATTTATTCCTCTCCATTGTAACTCTCCCCCCCCCCTTCAGCTTTGTTTCACTTAAAGCCATGACATCCAGTTTCCCCCCCCCTTCTCATTCATAACATCCACAATCAACTCTTTCTTATCATTTTGCACAACAACCACTAGCACATTCAACGTTCCCACATTACAATTTTCTTCTTATCTTATACAGTACAAGATAATCTATGTAATTTTTACCAAAGATAATATGTCCCATTTTTCTACCAAATGCCATACAAATAACCACCAAAACTTTCTATAGGCACACAGCCAAGAGTAAATTTGTGAGGGAATAGAAGTTCCACAGGCTCAAGATGCATCTGGTTCTTGTTTTTTCCTACTTTCTCTACCTCATCTACCAGGAGCTGCAAACTAACAGCTAAAACTTGCATGACATAAAATAATTAATTACCATTAACCTAGCAAAGAATTGTATAACCATATTTTAACTGATAAATTTTAAGTTTAACATCACTTACTGTTCCTTACCATAATACCGTTGCTCTACATCCTTAATCAACACTCTGACAGACAAGCAAACAAACGTTCCAGACACCAGTTCTGGGGTGACTGGATGAGTACGCACAACTCGAAAAAAACAATTCCTTTATTGACGAGGTAATAATATTTCTGTAGCACCAACACGTAAACAAAACCTCATAAATACCACAAAAAATAAATAACCGCAAGTTTACTCATCTGAAGTCATAAGTACTCGTAAGATTCACACCGGCATCTGGAGGGTGTCTAAAACTTAAATGCTTCAAACACTGCACTGCTCCTTTGAACACCAAGGTTTCAGCTGAATTGGTTAAGGAGAGTTATCACAACATAAATCTATGTTTTTTAATGGTATTTCTGGCACCACAGCATGGTTCAATTTATCACAGTTTCTGGAGTTCCAGTTTATAAGATGGTGTGCCCTAGTTGTAGCACATGATCCTGAGAATTTAGCAACTCCACTAAATTTCATTACTCTAGAATTCATTAGCCAATTTCACTCAAGGTAATCTTAAAAGTTCATTTTCAAATATGATATTTTATTCTTATCGCTAACAATTCTCAAGAAATTAAAAGAACCTATTAATTCACAATAAAACCAGTAATACTGTAATATAAAATTTTATGTACACCCACTCACAAATATGTGAATTTATAACTAACGATAGTTTGTGTGTTTGACATCTGTTTACTTTTAAAAACAGAAATAAGAAAAAAAAAACATTTTAAATATT